GCCCGCCGCCGCCACCGCCGCCCGGGAACAATGCGGGCCAATGTCTCCGGGCGGGCGAGCCGGCTATGCAAATGCCCAACGGCCTGTGAGAATCCCCCTCCGCCGCCGCCCCGGCTTCCACGGCCTGAAAGGGGCTGGCGGCCGGGCCTGGGTGGGGGAGGCGGCCACTGCATAGGGATGAGCTGTCGTCCGGAGCGCCCTGGACAGAGCGCCATTGTCTGTGCCAACGCCGTCTGATCGCCGGTGGAATCCGCCAGGCTGGGGAGGAAGGCGGAGGTGAGCGGAACCAGGCCCTGGGGCGAGGAGAAGTGGTCACCGGCTCCTCTCCCCGAAGAGCCTTGTCTTCAGGGTGAGACCGTGGTGGTCCCCCATCTTGGCTCCTCTACTCACTAGCTTGGTGGCCCGCACAAGCCAATTGGTATCTCTCAGCCTCTGTCTCTTGGGGTCTAAACCTAGCCGTAGTTGGTACTCCTCCCACCCTCCCTACTTTGTTAAACACTCCTCCCAACCTCGGTCCATGTTTTCAGGTCATATTGACCCAATGGACTTTGACAGGTGTTTCCAAAGCCAATTCTTTTCTGGAGACTTGAGAGAAATACTCGTGGTACCCCCAAAGCAAAGCAAGTCGTTGGGCAGAAATGCCCTAAGGGGTCCTCTCTGGTCTATGAACGTCAGGGCTGGCCCAGGCCTGCCTTCTTGCCTCCCTCTGCCATCCACCATTAGTTAAGGAGACTTACCTTTTACTGGGAGAAAGGCCAGCCATGGCAGAACTAAAATAAACTTCTCCGATGATTTGGAGGTGGGGAGTTGCCACATAAAGGCCCCTCCCACAAGTGAAAGAGGCTTGTCCCTCTACCCCGGCCAGGCGTCTGTGGCCATCCAACACGGAAGAAAATGCCTAGACAGTGGGCAAGAGAGCTCTATGCCAGGAGCAGAGCCCATTCTGACTGGGAACTTGGTCCCCTGTCCTTAGGCACTTACAGGCTGAGATCCAGTAAATGGGCTTGAGACTCAAGAGAGGCACAGAACCTGAGTCCACTTTTTCTAAACTTCTGCCAAGATTCATGAGGAAGGGTGTATTAGTCTGTTTCTGTTGCCTATAACACAATACCTGGAACTGGGTGATTTATAATAAAATAAAATTTATCGCTTACAGTTTCAGAGGCTGGAACTCCAAAGTCCAGGGAACACATCTGGTGAGAGCTTTCTTTGGTAGTGACTTCATTGATGGCAGGGTATCACATTGCCAAATGGCAGAGCAGAGAGAGTAACCTCCTTATTCACTCTCTTTTTAAAGCCCTCAGAACCACACCCCTGACCACCATTTTTAGTCCATTCACTATTGCATGGTCCTACAATCCAATCATCTCTTCAAGGCTCCACCTTTCAATTACTGTAATAGGATTTCCCACCCTCTTAATAGTCACAATGGGGGCCA